GATGCCGATGACCCACTTCTGGTCCGGCCGAAACCGGAAGTACTCCGTTCGGCCACCCTATAACCCAGATCGAGAGAGGCAGAAGGCGGCTAGCTGGCGGTGGACCTTGCAGCACATCGGCAAGGGGGGAGCGGGGGCAGAGAGAGTGGAGCTTCAGTCTGGTCAGTGACCATGCTAGCGGACTCAGCAACAACCGCTGCAGCCAGCTCTAAGGTAGGCAGGTGCTCTGTACCCATCTTATTGTTGCAGGCCAAAAGCCCAGAAGAGAAGCCATTAGCTACACCAACTGGCTCTCACCCGAGATACAAGAAATGTGCCTCTTGTAGCGTCAAATTACCTTCTGCTCATAAGAAACCCCTTTGTCAGCCCTGTTTGGGGAGCTTGTGGCAGAGGAATCTTCGGGACGTTCAAGGGGCTTTTTGACGGCATATTCGCCCCTGCTCCCCCCCCACCCAGACTTTACTCGGAGAGTTGCACCAGTCTGGGCACGGTCAACTCTGCAGATTAATCCCCTGATTCTGAGGGAGGGGAGGCAGAGTCTGCAGAAGGGGAGCTTAGAGCTTCCACATATCTTTTTCCAGCATCAGAAACCGATGAGTTACTCAAGGCTGTTTGGGAGACTGGGGTTTAAGGAGGAACAAGCTGAACTTTTGGTGCATGATAGGCTCTATAAAGGCCTTTGGTCTAAAAAGGGGAGAACTTTCCCGGTCCACCAGTCCCTGAAGGACGTCATTTTTGCAGAATGAGCTGACCCAGAGAGGAAGCTCCATTTTTTTCCCCCTCGCCTCAAACGGAGATTTCCTTTTAGCGAGGAAGACTGCGGGATCTGGGAGAAATGCCCCAAGCTGGATGCCTCCCTTTCCAAAATCTCCAAAAAATCAGACCTGTCTTTTGAAGACATGGGAGCCCTGAAGGAACCCATGGACAAAAAAGCGGACTCCCTGCTTGGAAAAGCCTGAGAGGCGGCAGCAGCAGGATTTAAGCCAGCATTGGCAACCACTTGAATAGCCAGGACGCTGGATGTTTGGCTAGCTCAACTTCACTCCCTTTTTCCCCAGTCATCGTCCAGGGCAGCCTCTGAGAGATGGGATCCTCACACCTGAAACAGGAAACGCATCATCCACAATTAGAATAAAAAGGGCGGTCCCTCCTAACCACCTCAGGATTTTGTGTTTCCTCCGGCCGAACAGGAGCATCGCAACGTTTGTTATTTTACTCCAGGCCTATTATGCTAGATAGCAGGGGCCTCCTGAGGCATGCTGCTCTCACTCGCAGGACAGTGGACCTGTAGGGTCTCATGCACAGGACTTTCCTAGGACTGATTCCCCCCGAGTCCTTACAAAAAATGTTTGCCCAGAGGTTCCCCTCGATAATGGAAGGAGATGGCAACCATCCTCGCTGGCGTAGTGTCTCCAGATGGAGTCCACCGGAGTGTCCTGCTACAGGAATTGACGGATGACCTGATGGGCTCTCTGGCGGCAGTAACGCTGGATCACAGCAGGACACGAATAATGTGCTTTGTCGTCAATCCACATCGGCAAGCAGGGGCGCCAGGAGTGGGGCAGGAGCGTGAGTCCAAACGGGAAGGGTGATGCACACCGTTGGACTCTTTTATCACAGGCTGCTTCTCCCATTCTGGGGGTTCAAAGCGCCAGCTCCAAGGTAGGCGGGTCTACAATTGACAAGTCCCCCCTACCTGTACCCTTCTTGCTCTGGGGGCCTACTTCGGTGGGGCAAGGGGTAGTTGGCTTACTTGATGCACCTCCCAATGGGTCTCTCTCCAGGGGGTGCAGCTTGGTCTCGGGTGGCAGACTCTGAGCCCTTCCCTTTTTTGGCATAAGTATAGGCCTCAGAGGATAAGCCCCTGCCAGCAGAAGCCAAAACACCCTAAGAGTGCTTCCTGCATTGACAAATTGTTTTTCTTTCCGGGCCAAGTTTTTCTGCCAGATCTGTGTATCGCCAAAGAGGGGCATGCAAGTGGTTAGGAGGGACCGCCCTTTTTATTCTAATTTGTGGATGATGTGTTTCCTGTTTCAGGTGGGAGGATCCCATCTCTCAGAGGCTGCCCTGGACGATTCCTGGAAAATAAGTTACCAGGTACCTAACTTAGGAGTCCGGTGCAGAGCTTCTCACCGAATCCTTACAGGTCCTCTCCAAGGCGGTTGCCTACATAGCAGACGCTTCAGTGGAGGCCATCAAGTTTTCGGCTCGTACCTCGGCCCTAATCAACTCTTCCCTAAGGGCCCTGTGGTTGAAGACTTGGTCGGGGGACTTCTCTTCCAAGAACAAACTGTGGTTTACCCTTCAAAGGTGAATTGCTATTGTTGTGGAAATTTTACTAGGATGTGTTTTTAGTGTATTGTAATATTTTGTCATTATGTCTCTCAGTGTCTCGGTTTAAATAGGCACTGGTGTTAAACCATTGGAGTAGATATCTTATGCATGGCAGAGCAGTGTTTTCTTAGCCAGTGTGTGGACGCCAGGCTAGGGCCCCTGCGCGGTGCATGGATTTATTGGTTTGGCGTGTATACAACTTGCTTTGAGGACATGGTATTATTTAAGATACATATCTGCCTTTATGGAAAAGAAGGTGCGTTTGTTGTCTCTAGTGTGCCTGATCAACTGCTGGAGATAATATGACGTTGTCCCTGTAAATAAGCACACATGAGAATCATAGTAACGTTCTGGATAAAGTTCACTCCGGTGGTAATAGATTATTGTACTACATGTGTTTTTGTTAGCTGGCTATGTTGAAGTGATGGTGGTTTCCTGTCTGACATCACTTCCTGTCTGACAGATATAAAACAAAGGCCTGTGCTGGGGCTCTTAGCATGGAACGAGCAAGCAAGCAACACCTGTGTCGTGAATCTACATGACTATACAGAGGTTCTTCCAGTCCTTGTACAAAAGAGCGTAATACAACTGTGCTTTTAAGCACGGGGGAAATTCTTTGTGTTAGGCCTACTTTTGGTGCATTTTAGTGCGGCATGGATTTGTGCGTTGAACCAAGCGAATTTCCATAACACTATTCGGTCAGGAACTGGAGGCTGTCTTGGACAGGTCCTCAGACAAGAAGAAGGGGTTCCCCCTCTCAAACAACCCAGAAAGTTTTTTTTTTTGGGGTCAACTGGCTCACTTGGGTAAGAGGGGGGGAAAAAAGCGTGACCAGGGTAAGAAGTGGGCATTCAAAAAGGGGAAGGGAAAGAGCAGGTTGCTTTTTCCCCCGAGGCCAAACCCCAATGACTTCTCAGCCTCGGTGAAGGGGAAGACTCGGGGTTCCTCCCTCAGTGGCTAGAGGTCACGGACAAAAGCTTTATTCTGGACTTGATTCAGTGGGGATACAGAATAGAGCTGTTGAAACCAGCCCCTGCAAGATTCTTCACACAGCTTTCAAGAATGCAGCAAAAGCCCAGGTGATGATCCTTGCATTACAGGATCTTCTAGACCAGGGGGTGATATGCCCTGTGCCAGAATCCGAACTGGGCCTGGGTTATTATATTTTCTTGAGAAAAAAGCCTTCAGGAAAACCCAGACTGATTCTAAACTTGAAACCACTGAACAAGGTGGTTCGCTACAAAAGATTCTGTATGGAATCAATCTACACGTTGAGACACTTGCTGTCCCCCAATGTATACCTAGCCACGATGGAGTTAAAAGATGCCTACCTGCACATACCTATCAGGGCTCCGTCCCAAAGGTTCCTGAGGTTTGCTATCAGGGGTCCTCAGGGAATTGTGCACTACCAATACAAAGCTCTTTCCTTTGGTCTCTGGTCTGCGCCAAGGATCTTTACCAAGGTACTGGCGGAAGCCCTGGCAGCATTAAGGCAACGGGATAGATGTCCCGTATTTGGTCGACCTACTTTTCTTCAGCCACTCGAGAGAGACCCTGCAAATGAGCTTAAACGCGGCTCTCAACCTCCTGATGAAGTTAGGCTGGCTGATCAACAAGGAAAAATCCCAGCTTCAGCCGGCCCGCTTGATTACCTTTTTGGGGTATCAGCTAGACTCCTCAGTATCCCGCTGCTTCCTTCCTGAAGAAAAACGGCAAAAGGTAACGGGTCTAGCGCTATCCCTTGTTTCTTTCCCAAGAAACGTCTTTCCGTGCCATAATGTGACTCCTGGGGCTAATGATCTCGGCAATCCCTGTGGTCGCCTGGGCTCAGCTTCATTCAAGACCGTTGCAGGCCTTTCTTTTACAGCATTGGGGCGGGGTACGGGAGACACTGGACATGTGCATTCAGATCCCGGACCACGTGAATCATCCCTCCACTGGTGGATGCAGACACAGAATCTAGCGATCGGGAGGCTTTGGTGTGTCTCAGAGCAACTGAGGATCACCACGGACGCCAGTGCATGGGGCTGGGGAGCACATGGCTCAGGGGATCTGGGACCGCGTTTGGAGTCAGAAATCCTCAAATATGAGGGAACTCAACGCAATCCGGCTGGCCCTGCTACACTTTGGGGAAATATTCTGAGGTTCTCATGTCTTAGTTCTGTCAGACAATTCTACAGCAGTTGCCTTTTTATAAACGGGCAGGGAGGCACAAGATCGTGCCCTCTCCTTGCGGAAGCTATTCTTCTGTGGGCAGAAGGCAACCTCCTTGTCCCTCTCGGCAGTTCACTTAAAGGAAACCTTGAACTCTCTAGCCGACTTCCTCAGCCGAAAACGGCACCTTCCTTCCGAGTGGTCACTGAACGAGCACATATTCCGATTACTTTCAGGAAGATGGGGGACGCCTACGGTGGACCTATTTGCCACAAGGGAAAACAGGAGGGTGGAATCTTTATTCTCCCTGTGTCTGGGGGACGGGGCTCTCGGGGTGGATGCCTTCGCCCACACTTGGTCGTTTCCTCTGGCATATGCTTTCCCCCCCCATCAGGCTGCTGCCCAAAGTCCTGCTGAAAGTGGCACAAGAACAAGTGACCATGATTCTCATCACGCCCTGGTGGCCGAAGAGGCCTTTGTTTGCGGCTCTTGAACCTCAGCATCAAGCCACCATGGATTCTGACGATTTTATTGCAGACTTGTTGATCCAGGGCCCAGTGCGCCACCCACATCTGGAAACCCTCCGCTTGGTCACCTGGTTTCTGAAAGGGAGATCTTGCTAACCAAGGGTCTCTCGGAGAGGGTTGTGTCCACTCTACTCACCAGTAGAAAAGCTACCACCTCCGCAATCTACAACAAGATCTGGAAGACTTATTCTTCCTGGGTGTTGCTTAATGACATGGTAGGGAAGCCAGCCACCATAGCAGTCCTGGAATTCCTACAGAAGGGAGCGGACATGAAGTTATCATGCAGTACACGTTTCCGCGCGATCTGTCTACTTGGAGACGAAGAAGGCGAAAGATCCTCTGATTCAGAGATTTCTGATGGCCACTACCAGAAGTAGGCCTCTAGCTGTGAGGAGCTTCCCTACATGGGACCTGTCAGTGGTCCTCCGCAGTTTTCTTAAGTCCCCCTTCGAGCCTATTGACTCTTGTTCACTTCACCTTCTTACTATCAAGGTGACCCTGCTGATGGCCGTTGTGTCAGCCAGAATAGTGAGTGAAATCCATGCGTTTTCTATAGCGAAGCCTTACTGCACGATACATGACTGGATCGTCCTTAAACCTGATCCAGGGTTCTTGCCAAAGTGGCTTCCATTTTTCACCGCACACAGGAAGTTGTTGTCCCTTCTTTCTACCCTAACCCAGATACTGAAGAAAAGATGCTGCGCGTTATTGACGTCAGGAGATGTATCCTAGAGCAGGGCTCAAAATTTCAAGTCCTGAGCTAATAGCCAGGCCTTAAGAGTCACTAGCCACCAGTTGCCCCACCTAACCCTTTGGGCCGTGACACACTGCACGCGAAGCCGTACAGAGCGAAGCAAAGCTATCCGGCACGGAGCTTTGCATGCAGTGTGTGAGCTGAGTGCAGTCAGATGATTGGCTGGCTGAAATTGTTCATCTCGGCACGCTCAGCTCCGTGAGCTCTCACTTGCTGAGGTGCCCAGGAGAAAATTACATGACACACTGCTTGCAAAGGCAGTGTGCCACCACTCCGCGCTGCTTCGCGTGCAGTGTGTCACGGCCTTAACCCTGCCCTGGCCTTAACTCTGCCCCTAAACACACCCTCTTAAATAATCTTATGATAATTCTTATCTTATGGTTGCCGCTTGTAAACGGCAGATTAGGGATTCCTGCTGCAGGAAAACACAAGTTCCTGACACAGGAATCTCTAATCACACCTGAAATATACTGTAGGTGTGAATGTGGCCTAATATACACATACACTAAAGGTGCCCATACACCTGCCGATAGTACGATAATCGCTGGTGATCGCGGTATGATAATCGGCAGGTGTATTAGCAGCGTGCGACCGCTTCTACTGTACGGTCGTACGACTTTCGTCTTCCGACCATACGTTTTCTTTCGACCGGAGCTCTGACAGTTCTCAGGAAGCAAGAGCTGACAGGAGCTGCTCTGCGGTCTGCATCCGACACATATGCAGACCGTGGAGCTTCTCCCGCAAGTCAGATACGCGGTCTGCGACCGTGTACCTGACATGTCAGCTGGCTGTGGGCAACATAGTACCGGCTCGCGGGCCGGAGTTGGGCCACGGACCGGTACTTGGAGACCCAAATTTTCACACCTTATTTTTACTCGCCAAATGCGAGCAGGCGAGTGGAAATTTTGAGCCCTGTCCTAGAGTATTTGGATACGACCAGTCGCTGGTGGAAATCTGACAATCTGTTAGTCCTTTTTCCTGGGGCCTAAGAGCATCCAAAAGCACTATCACAAGATGGATAAAACTGGCTATATCAGAGGCCTATAAACATCAGGGTTTGATTCTGCCACAGAATGTGACTGCACACTCTACCAGGGCTTGTGTTTCATCCATGGCTGAACGAGCAGGGGCTACCCCAGATCAAATCTGCAGGGCAGCTATTTGGACTAGTTTCCAAACCTTTTGTCGGGCACTACCGTATAGACGTGTTTGCCAAGGAAGACCGTGATTTTGGTAGAAGAGTCATGCAAGCAGTTTGCCCACCCTAAAACCATGTGAGTATGGGTTCTTGCCTACTCTCTCATATGCTGTCCTGGAAGATTACTTGGGAAAAACTGAGTTAGGTACATGGTAACTCGGTTTCCAGGAATCTTCCAGGACAGTATGGTTCCCCCCCATGGGAATATATTTTAGGTATGCTTATGTGTATCCTTCGGTTCTATTATTTAACTAAGGCATGCTAGTTCTAAGCGTCTTTTTATTTGGTGTGTATGATGTGTTTCCTGTTTCAGATGGGAGGAGACTAACTATTTCCTTTGCTCTCCAGCTCACAAGGTCACCTTTTCCAAAGACAGGAAGTGACAAAGGAAGATTAGGTCATGACAGATGACCACAGAGGTTTTTTTTTCTTTATGGTTATTTTTTCCCATTGGGTTGCATTGCGTTGCGTTTTTAATGCGTTCCAGAGCAGGTAAAATAGGGCTTGCCGCAGTTTTTTCACCTGCTCTGGATCTGGTCTGGATCATCGATATGAACTGGAGGTCAAAATACCATAGGAATACATTAGACGCAGTTTTGATCCGGTCTGCACCTGCTCTGGTCTGGATCTGCTCTGCGCTTGGTGTGAACAAGCCCTTACGCATGCCCTGCCACTTAAAGCCAATCTGTTTACAATTTTGTTCCTGTAAGAGTGTAAATATAATAGTTTCTACATTGTTAGCTTGGGCTTTTATCTTTTCTATTGATTCTATTCTATTTAGCACTATTGTATGCCCTTTTAACATGTAGAGTACAGCAATTTATAAGAACCAATAAAACGTGTTTTTTTTAATCTGACTGCCACATTGTCAGGGGTGTGGAATTCGTATCGACCGACGCCCGGGACATGTAGTTCCGGCCGCCGGGCAAGTGGTTTTCTCACTGTTTTAGCCCTGCTACGGACAAGTAGCAGGGCTGGCTTTACTTTTTTTAAACTAGCACCGAGAGCAGCGCTGCGAGCGGAGGGCGTGGAGTGCAGATAGCACTGCAGTTAAGTTAAAAAAAAAAGTAATAGTTAAAAATGTAACTAAAAATGTAAAAAAAAGGCGATAAAGTAAAAACAATAAAACAAAACAAATGAAAACATTTTACAAAGTTAAAGCAGAACTATGGGGTTAAGGCTTTTCCCCATAGTTCTCAGGGTAACGGGAGGACACAAACTAGCGGCCTCCCGTCACCCTAAGCTCAGTATATTCACGGTATACTGAGACGCCACAGCATACCGCGACCTGCTGCTCGTGTTATATTGAGACGCCGCAGCTGAAGCGGATCCCGACAATTATGTCTGCATCCGCCCAGCTGCGTGACTTGACATCTGGCTCTGCCTATCTAGAGGCAGAGCCAGCTGTACCCGCCCCCTCCCCCGTCCGTTCCGCCAGACAGCGCTGGCGGATAGGAGTGGGGGGAATCCAGCCCCTCCCGTGACAGGATCGAGAGGTGAGCGAACGCCGGTATGTGTTCGCTCACCTCCCGAGTTGAGCAGTCTCATTGTCGCAGGTCGGCTAGAACTATGAGGTGAGTGAAAAGCACTCCCCTCATAGTTCTCCTTTAATAAAAAATGAAAACCAGCCCCGCTGCCCCATCTGCATGCGAAGTGTTTTCAACTGCGATCGTGTGCTACCGCTCGGAAAATACCGCAATCTGCCTGGCACAACTGGGGTGTCATTAGAAAATAATGGCACTGCCAGCGCGATAGGCGGTGGTGTGCGATCTATGACTGACCGGTCATCATGCACGAAACCGAGCGGATGGCTGGGTGGTCACGGAATAGCACACCACCGCCGATCGTACTGTCAGTGCCATTATTTTCTAATGGCACCCCAGTCGTGCAAGGCAGATTGCGTGTTTTCCTGCTGCAATACCGCCCGGCCGATCCCACACGGTTGAAAACAATGCGCGGTGCATGTCGTGAAAATAGGTACATGTACCTTATTTTTTTTTTTCCAGTGATTGCCACGCAGATGTAACCCCATACATGCGGATGCAACCCCACACGATCGCAAGGGTATATTCACTTTCCCAAGTAATTTGGGAAAATGGAATTACCCGCACAAATCTCCCTCCCACTATACTTACCTTTCGGCGACCGATCCTTCCCGTTCACCAGTACGGGTGTACCTGTTCCATGTATTCTGAATTTCGCTCGCAAATTGCAAGCACTCGGTCAACGCTGTCACCTGACGGCATTGACCAATGAGAAGCGCTTCTTAGCACTGCTAAATACGGTTTGGTTAACATAATTTTTTTTCGTATCAGGACAAGTAGATTGTCATGAGGGACAAGTAGATTCGGCCCCCGCTTTAGTCCTTGGACAAGTAGTTTTTTCCAAAATTTCCACACCCCTGATTGTATTTCATATTTGCTTTTCTTTTTTTTTATTATTTTTTTATTTATCAAGTATAGCTGAAACCAAACAAATACTTATGTCTATTCATATGAGAACACGATTACCAATATGGAGTATATAATATAGGGATGCACCGATATATATCTGCCGCTGAAACATATTGTCCGAAAATGGCACTTTTGGCAAAATGCAGTAAGGGCCATTTTCTGGCCGATTATAGCGGTACAACTCTGCTTTCTCTCCTCCCCGCTGGGCGCTGCTTTGTGTCCCAGCTGGGAGGAGGGAAACTATCACAGGCGGCCGAGCGCTGCGAAAGGAGAGCTCTGTGAGCGACCGGCGTCTCTCCTCACCGCTCAGCCTCCTGTGACAGATCAGAGGAGAGTGGTGCGTGGGTGGAGACAGCCAGCACTGTCACAGGAGGCTGGCCAGCACCGCTTGCTCAGCCTCCTGTGACAGCGTGTCTGGAAGGAGAGCGGTACAAACACTCAGTGATTACTGAGTGTTTGTAAATAATTGAGGAAAGTCAGGAAATCACCAGCACTCAGTAGTAAAGATAAATATGTCCCTTTTTATTGGACAGAAAGCGTCACAGACATCCACATAAACCGATGTTTCAGGACCGCGCAGGGTCCCTTCCTCAAGGCAGAAAGATGTGACCTAATTGAGGACATAGTATGTTTACTATATGGGATGTGATCTACATCT